GCAACATTCTATTTACATGCTATATCTGATTCTCATCTATGATTACTGCTCCTATGACTGCAACATTCTATTTACATGCTATCTCTGATTCTCAACAGTCGGGGGGACAATGATGAGTAGTGGTTTTAATTGTTTCTACGATAACTGGTACTATCACTCCTACTATCAAGATTCTACATGTCTACTACACTATCATCTTCGTCCTCACTGTCTTCGACTACACCTTCACGCATCATGCTCGGTTGGCCTTTAGGTAATAGATGTTTAGTGAATTTTTTCAGCTGAGGGTCACTGGTTCGGATCGTCTTCTTCAATTTTGCCAACCCGGTGAGATATGTGTTATCAATCGGCGCAATTGAAGTGGGGTGCTGGGTTGGGAATTGATTAAGGATGTCGCGGTGATTGCCCATCTGCATGAACATTGCCAGGGACCATTGGTCCAACCGGTTCTTGTGGGACTGATGTATTACTGTGGCGCCACAGTCGACCTTTAGCGACTGAAACATGCCCTGTAGCTGAGAGGTCCAATGATGGGATCACACCGTGAGAACTGGGGTCTTTGGGTGGGCAGAAGTTTAAGTGGTGATGATGAACTCACCAATAAGATGTTAGTCGAAAAGAGGTCTCTTAGCCGGTCAATCTTAGTCCCATTGCCGGTGTTGTTGTATACGTACTTCAGCCAATAATTCTGACACTCCAAGTAATTGTCCTTGGCGACAAAATGATCCTTCCGGCCGGTAGGCGAGAATAATAGGTTGTGTTTGAGAAACTTGCCAAGTGCCGGAGGTAATATCTCGTTTAACAATAGGACCATTCGAGGGAGGTACGAGGAATAATTGGTCAGACCTTTGAGCCCCTGGGTCATGAGGCACCACTTCTTCCAAACGTTCATTAGTCGACCGATGTCACCCGAGCTCATGGATCTTTTGGCCTCGACCACCGAAGAGAAGTCATGCATCATGATCAAAGTGTTGCTGAGTTTAGTGTTCTTGTCTAGGGCGGCTGCACTTCGAGCTTCAGGGGAACAGAATCGCTGGTAACATGTTTCGACGATGTCATTCCATTGGTCAGTAGGGATGGTCGTACGCTTCTCCCCAATATCCTGAAACTCGGTCTTCATGACCAACCTTGATTAAACATAAGAGTTTTGGCTGCATCAGTCTGGAGTTGATTCATTATGCCCAAGATATCTAAACAATGATACTCACCGCAAGCAGTAGTACAAAGAAGCCTCCAAGATCTTTTCCATTTGATTGATCATCAGGTTGAAATCCTTCTTTTGAATGGCCTTCTCCGATGGGAAACCCAACGCCTCCAAGAACTGCCAGGCCCCCACGTTCGACTGGTCGGAGGCGTCACCAAAATGATGAGTAAATATAGTCGATGCAATGTTCCAAAGAGTATGAGAAGCCCCCAGCTGAAAGATGATATTATTGAGGCTCTCCTTGCCGTAAGGGCTTGGATAACGCTGGGATCTTAAGGAGTTGAAGTTCTGGACGGTCCCCAAGTCGCCGTCCATGGGCTGGAGGCGCCCGTAGAAATCCTCCTCGCTCAGGCCAGATTGTTTCAAGATAGTACCGAAGACCTGCCCAATACTCTCGGCCGAGTTGTCGGAGACGTCCATCAGCTTGAGCATGTGGATCACAGGCTTCTCATGACTGATCACTTCGATCGGTGGAGGCACAGTTGGAATAGATGTGCATTTGTGAGATGGTTCAGCGATGTTCTCCATTAGTACCTTGGCTATCTGACTTTTCCAAACCCTCATCTCACTAATTGCCGCCTCGGGATTGGGCAGGAAATGTTTGGGCTCAATGGAGAATGACTTCGCCTTGATTAGCGAATCATGATAAGATGCCAACGTCAGCTCTTCTGGGTTAAGAGTTTTCAGCAAAGTGTTGCTGGGCACATGGATGTAGCCCCAGGTCCCTCGGAACGTCTTGGCACGGTTGCTGACGGATAAATCATGGACCCCTTGGACCATGTCAATATTGTCGATGCAGATTGTTGGAGCAATCAAAGCCGTCCTCTTCATCGACATGGCACCCCGGATTGACCGTTGCCCTTCAGAGGCCAACGTGCCCAGGGCACTCATGGCAGTCCGGCGTGAAGAGCATAAACCGAGATAATGTAGGTACTCATGGACCCTCTCGGAAACCCCACAGGCGGTGAACCGGATAGCATTAGTTAATTGCAATCCATTGTGCCTGCGGTTATGGGCAAATGCAACCATTCCGCATATGGTGGTCGCAATCTGTGAATAATACCGTTTGCGAGTGAGCCTACAATAAATAAGACACATCCACCAGCGCGGAGGGACTCACCCGAGCAAAGCGTGCATTGATACGTTCCTGGCCCAAGAGGCCATGGTAGTAGCTCACCTCTCCAAATCCGTCTGGGGAAAAGTGAAGATCATGAGAGTCAGGCTCATCTTCATCGCCTGTGTGGTCATCCACAACCCCACCCGCTTGAAGCATTCCATTAATGAGACCGTACATGAACGGCATGTGATCTTGAGTCAAGTGAGCCTGTTGAACCTGCTGCTCTTGAGGTGAAAAAAAAGATTCCTTGACCGACACCGAGCTTTGGAAGGAGCCACGCGGATAATAACCCCTCGGCGGCTCCTGGGACACTAGGACATTAACGGCCTTGAAAGCAAAAACACCGGGGATCAGCGTCAAGGAAGTGACCGAGCTACACTATCGAACAGACTAACCTCCTTCTGAATAAAGTCGGTCCACTCCTTGCTACCCCCGTCTGAGCTCATGATCTCGTCACGCAGGAGCTTAACCAGATACATGGTTGATCCAATACCCCTGGGCTGGGCCCAAAGCCGACGCAAGTATGCGATGTCGGAGTTCTCGGACTCCAGGAATATTTGCAAGAAGCGTTTAGGCGTAATTTTCCCAGGAGTTGTGTTGAGCAACTTGCAAGCGGTGAGGACCTTTAGGGTCTCGGCTGGAGATTCCATGGTGAAATCAAGTAGGAAGCAAGGAAACCCTGGGATGAAGACCTTTTGTAAGGAAGGAGCCACACGAACACTGGAGAGAATATTTTAGCAAATGCGAGCCCTAGGCAGGATCCTGAGGAACCCAAGTCATCGCGCGGCTTGGGCCATATTTATAATCATGCCAAGATGGTCCCATGAGCTCCACAGACAAAGGAGAATCTCGGGTTCTCTGACAATGACCTCAGGCTCCGAAGGCAAGGGCACAGGCGAACCCTTATCGCAGGCCACCCCTCATCGCGGGCCAACCCTTATCTTGTGACAAGTCATCATACTCATAATGTCTGAAGCTAAGGGACCTTCGACACCCCCTTGAAGCAAATCGATGGACTTACTACGCCTTGCGAACAGTTCACCGCAAGCCGGCTCCTTAGGGATTGCAACATCTCATGCCCACATGGCAATGACATTGACCGGCATTGCCCGGCCATGTATTGTCATCCGGATCAGTCGTGAAGTCTCCGAGACCGACGGAGGAACCTCTGACCTCCGAGAGTGAATAACCAGCCGGACGCATCACAAGCAGTAGTGTTAGGTCCATTTAGCTTCCGACAAAAATACCACTGAAGCTAAGGGTCAATGATAATATCATTGACCCTTAGCTTCAGACACCCCTTACAATAGGTGGGGTCTCCAACCCGATTTCAAGATCTCCCCCCTATCTTGTCCTGTTGTAATTATTAGATGCACAGAGGCAAATGGAGTCTGGTCGGTACAGATCCGTCACAGTTAGCTATTGGCACGTGTGAATCCCGGGCTCCAATCTCGGTAAGATTGCATGAAAAGATAGAAAAAGATACTAACCTGGTCGGTACAGATCCGTCACAGTTAGCTATCGGCACGTGTGAATCCCGGGCTCCAATCTCGGTAAGGAAAGAGAAAAAGGAGCCCGGAGCGGTACCGGCCAGGCTATATATACTATGTACAATCGGACTAACTAGGTTAGGTCTGTGGGTATCACTAAACTAGGTTAGACAGGCTTGTAAGTACATAGTATAAACTAAACATGCATCTTGTAATCTTGTATCTTCTGAGATCTTCCGGCACTACTCTAACAGTAATGTCGAAGGTGAATAACACCTCCGGAGTGTTATATTGATAAGAGATCAGTACAGTGAGTATGTCCCATATACAGGGACCGAAAGCGCATAGGTCAGTGTATGCATAGTATGCGAGCATACACAGGAATCTTGAAGAAGAATCCAGAGGTGCTTCATCATCCTCTTTGACAAATGGTCTTTTTCGGAGGCAGGTCTTGCCAAGGCTAGAGGGCCCCGGGCCAAGTGGGTACAACTAAAAAAACGGCGGGAAGCAGGGGTTTGCGCTAGTCCAAATGGCAGAAATAAATTCCATGTGGAAGTGGGGGCAAATGTCAGGGCAAATTTTTTCCCTACTAACTGCCCCCAGCTGCCACGCGCAGATTCTGACGTTACTCGCAAGTCCCTCCTTCGGAGGCTCGCTTCGCGAGGGGCGCTTGCGCCCGCCTGGTACAGGCCCTCCGATCGAGGGACTTGGGTTAAGTTAGGTTCAAACCCAGGCCTGGCATTTTTGCCCCCAAGGGCTTCTAATCCTACCATCCGATGGATGGTTTGGCCCTACCATCCGGGTTCAGCAATATGCAAGTCGCATCCAATGGATGCTCCTTGCAGGGCCAAGGTCGGATGGCATCTGGTACATCCGATGGGGTGTCCAAATGCCATCCACCACGCCCGGTGGTGTACAATATATTGAACTTGGCTAAACATAACTCTCGCTGGCGCCGAGGCTACTGTCGGATCTGCTCCTTGTGATGAGCTGTTTCTGCGCACCTTTCTGCGGCGGGTCGAGCAAGATGTCCAATGACTCTCGAGATCACTGTATCGCATTGGATTGGCAGCTGAGTATTTGCAGATGGTACGGCGAACTTCGAATTTTGTTGAAGTTTGTGATTAGTTTCAAGTTCTAGTGAACCGCTACAATGGATGGAAAGAGACCACAACAGAAGCTAGCTCAGACTGTCATAGGCGATGGCTTCCCATATGTGCTGCCAGATAATATGGCAAGGAACACTTACAATACTTGTACTAGTTACTTTGCACAAATTTGAGATCGGTGTAATTTTTTTTGGTATAAAGACGATTCGTCCTCTTCCCGCCGAAAGAGTTCTTCCCCAGGACATTTGATCCAATCAGACTTAGCGACTATCAGTATCATCGGTCTCATACACACACCTGACAGTTGTGATAATACCATCTCGTATGGTGCCTCCATCGCCAAAAAAAACATCGCTGTCTCAACTTCCTACCGAGATCAAATTACTTGTCATTAAATATCTTGCACTTCAGACCAAGAAAGACCGGCGTGGTGGCGGAGTTGATGAGATAGCGACCCCGCGGCTGAATCTTGCCTTCGTAAATCGGTCATTTTATCAACTGTGCAGTGCGATAAATTGGAAAGTAAGGCCGCTCCTCCTTCAATATTTTTCACTTGCCATTTTCACCTTCATATTGGTTATTTTTGCATCCAGTGATGTCCAAACAAACAAGCTGTCTCTCAATACTTGGGCAGTCAGTTACTAATCGTTTATTTCTTTTCGTGTCCTTATTCTAGCTGATCAGCGTGCTGCACAAGGAGGGGGCCCGTCTCGACCAGCTCATTGATGAAATCTTGCCTCGTCAAGCACAGCACGTGCGAGCGCTTGTTCTCGGACTCGACACCGTCGCCGGTAGGAACACGGAAACATTGGACACCTTAACCGGCACACTTCCTCGGGTAAAATTAATCAACATTTTGAACCTTTGCACCAGTTTGGCTGGACTCCAAATACACCTCGATACTTATGAGGGCAAGTTTGACACGATGAGCACTCCCTTACCCAACCCAATTCCCACATCAATTCATCCGGTTGCTCAGCTTTCCAACTTGACCTACTTTTATCTGGATGACAACACGCCGGGCACGGGGGAGGAAGGTTGCTTTAGAGAAGAGTACTTGATCAATTTGATAAGGAATATGATACATCTAGTTCATTTTCGTATTAAAGGACACTCCGCGTCCTCTCCGACCTGCAATCTCTACCAGCATGGAAATCATATACAGCCGGTCCTGTCTCCGCTAGCCGTTCATCTAGCTTCGCTCAACTCGCTTAAAATTATCGACCTCACACTCTCGAGTTGTTTCAATTCGAGCTGGAGTAAAATTAACTGGAAAGGGGCACTCGAAGGAATCGTACTACACAGAATCCCTCAGCTTTCTTTTGGTATCCTGCATGATTTTTGCAGCCTCTTCAAAGAGAGTTTGGTTTCTCTCTCCCTTTGTGACTGTCCTATCAGCATTGATGGCAATGGAGAATATACCTCCCTAGACGAATCGGAGCAGAACTACGTCTTTTACTTGCCTAAGCTAGAGAAGCTGTCTGTTTTCACGCCCTATTCGACTGAATTTATTTACCTGTTCCGAGAGTGTTACAACATTACCAAGATCAACCTTGTTGCCAATCGCCAAATTCAGCCTTCTGATATTAAACGCTTAATCGACCACGATGATCCGGTCTGGACTCACTTGAAATCACTTGTAGTTCAAGTTGTTCAAGTTGATAAGGGCGAATACAGGCCTAAAAAAATTACGGATTTAGTTGCTTATGGTTCAAAAGTCGGTATAAAGGTGGAATGTGCGCACCATTCAAGACATCTGAATCGGCTGTTCATGGATTATCAAATGAGAATAAGAGATAATCGTCTATGGAGACCTGTCCAGTCTAGCGAAAACGAAATTGAAGAGTGATCAAGACCACAGGGAAGACGAAAGCGATGGTGAGGTTGATGGGGAAATCGAAGGCAAAAGCCAAAGTGAAGAAAATAGTGACGGCAAAGTGAAGTTCATGGTGAAGCTGAAATTGAAGGTGAAAGCAAAGGCCCAATTCAGAGGAAAACGGAACATCACAATGGATTTAGAGAATAATTTTACTGCTTTGATCTGCATAAACATGTATTGTAAATATGAACATTATGGTCAAGTGACTTGAGTATTTGGAAACATTACATACGAGTAAAGAAAAACATGTATTTAGATAGAGTGTGCCTGTTCCAGACTAATCCTTTTTTCTTGGACAAAGGCTTAATCATGCCATTGAATTTCCTTCAATATTTCCAAAAACATTCTTGCTGGAAGTTCACCATTTGACTAGAGGGCTTCCCTTTTCCATTTACACTGGGCTGTAAATGTCACTCCAAATCCTCAATCAACACCCTTATCACACTTACCAGCCATCACTGTCATGATTAATTTTTGTGAGAAAAACTAGGAAGATGATCTATTGGTATTACACTTTTGAAGTCTTCAAATCATTTATGTGGGCTAGCCTTGGAAAGACGGCTTCAATATACATTCTTGAGGAATTCTACTGATGTGAATTTGAACTGAATACAGATTTCTGCATTGGATTATGAATGGTTCAGGTGGTATCAACCTAGGCTGTTGATGCTTAAGCTGTACAAGAATAGTACAAGACCAATTGTCCCAACATTGAAGTTCTGCTTTCATGCCTTTTACCACACATCCTTGAAATGTGCCATAATTTACAAGCAATCTTAAAAATGACTGCTTCATCAACTTTCACAATCATAGTGCCACAAATGATTTGTCTTAGTTTCTTTTGAACCACTGATCTAATTTTTCTTCATCTAGTAAGATCCCACTGTTTTCAAATAAAAAGTAGTCCCCATCCAATCAATTGAGAAAGAATTCTCTCAAGTTGTTTTTCTCTTTTAAAAATTTAAAGTAATTTAGGCATAACATGAGATTGAAATTCGAGTCCTTTAGATCATCGATATGACATGTAATGTATGTAACTGCAGCTGATCACGATTACTGCAATCATCCCAGAGTGATATGTTCTGTTTAGGGCACCATCAGTATAATCTCCATTTGTGATTCATCTCAATGAAAAATCTTTTAAACTTGAAAAGACGGAGCGAACTGATCGAAATCCGCGAAAGTCTTCAGAGTTGATGGGTGAATTGTAACACTCCATCCTAACTATGTAGACCTCGCACCTCTCACAAGCACGCACTATCTCACTGACGGATGAACAAGAATTCTGAGACAAGAGAAACCCAATGCATTGAAAATGAAACCACTGTAGCTACACTTTATATAACGATAGCATGGGGTACAATCACACGAGAGAAAGAGATAAATAAGGGAGGACGAGATACAGAATGAACACGGTTGATGAATGCTTATTGCTGCGAGTATATATCAAGGAGATCAGTTGGGTTTGGAAAGGAGGAGGGCAACGCGGGTGTCGTCTTCTTGACCAGCGGCAGCGGCGCGGCGAGCGTTCTTGTTCTGGCCCTGGGTCTAGCGGAAAAGGGATAACAAACACATTTAGCCTCATCAACACCGTGATCAAACAAAGCAAACATTTCCACAATAAAGCACTCACATCGGGAGATTTTCCGCAAGCGCCCAAGATACTGTTGACGGCCTTCTCGAGGATCTGGCTCGAGCTATGATGAGCAAATGCAGATGGAACGGTAAGACTTCTGCGTTAAGATTGCTAAGTTGATCAATTCAGTTGACTTACGATTGGCTTGGTGCGACTTTGTCATTCTTGGTAACAAGAGTCAAGGTGCAGCCTCCGTGGGTAGCGCTGCTGGTCTTCTTTTCAGCCAACTGATGAGCGGCCCTGCGAGGAGAAGGAAAACTTTGATCAGCGAGTGATTACAGTAACAATATAAAACCGACTTTGAGGAACTCACTTGATACATTCATCAGGGGAGAAAGTGCTGGAAACACCCTTGTTGCTAATGCAAGTCACTCCGGCCTCTCGACGGACGAGTTGTTCAGCACCAACAGGGAGAGCTCGTCGGGCCACACTGTGACCTTCCTCAGTGGCCTTGACAAAGTACATGCCGGGTCCGCGGAGGAGCCAGCCGCCTCCAAAGCAGTTGCCGTTGGGAAAGTAATTGAACACACTGTTGATCCATGGGATGCTCCATGTGTTGAGCATCAGGCCGCTTCCCCAGCCACATCCCCAACTGTTCAGAGATCCGAAGTTGTTGTAAAATCCCCCGCCGAATCCTCCGTACCTCGATCCGTATCGGAAGTATTTGGGGTCGACGTCCTCAGTCTTGCCGGCAGCGACCTCCTCTGCGTGAGAAACGGCGACGAGGAGGGACAGAAGGGTGATCAAGTATGCCAACGAAACCATTTTGTGAGTGGTGACAATATAAGATTACTGCAAGTGTTTATGGAGGCTGAGAAATCGATGGGAGGCTGTAAAGTCAAATGCTGAGGGCAGGTGAACTGGTGAGTTGGATGAGGATGATGGCAATAGGAGAAAGAGGCTCATTTTATATTCGAATCGCTCGCGGTTCATAGAGCTCCTGAGGGCCAGTTTGCACCCACCATCGGCATCCCTCGCAAGGTCAAGGCTCGTTTGCACTGAGCTGTTTGAAGACGTGAGGCTTGCCTGCTAGCTCCTCACTATGTAGTCAGCTGATCTACGCATCCTAGTGCCGTAGCCCAGGACGATAGTGAGGTATGTACTGGAGCGTCAGCATATTATTAGACTAGAAAAGAGGAACACTCCTTCGCAACCATACGACCAAAATCTTATTGATCACGAAAATGAGCGACGAGAATTTCGCCCGCCTGAGAACTCGTGGGAGCCGTACATATTTTCACGTAGAGGATGAAACGTTAATGATTAAGTCGCGGACCGGCGATTCCGACCCCGTTGCAGCAGGAGCCGATCAAGGGATGCGGTTTCTGCTCTGCCTATCCATGGACCAGAACCGATCGCCCCCAGACCTCACCAAACACATCCCGCACGGCTACCCCCTCCCGGTCTGATAACACTTCATCGCCCACCTGTGTTATCAATACATGTTTAACTACAACTTGTTACTTATTTACACATTTTCTTGATCAAACAATTGTTCATGGGCGTTACAACGCAACACACCGGTGCACAGGACTAAAATAGCCTGGGTTTGCGTTGAGTCGGAGGAAAGTTAATTTGCGGTTATTCATCACAATCATCCCATGTTACTCCAAGTACTTCGACTTCCTCCACCCCAATAGAAACTTTACTCTTGGCGAGCCTCAATGCCATATCTACCTCTTCTGGGTGGGATGGCCTCGCATCCTGCATCGTCACGTCTTCCACAGCAGGCTGAGTAGATTGATCGATGTCTCCGGGAGTGAGATTCATTGGTGAACTTGTACCAATCACCTGCTACACACAGAATGTCGTATCTTTGAGCGTAATTCAATAATTATGGGAAACTCCAATTTTTCTAGAGGGATTCGTCAATAGTGAGATCACATTACCTTTTGAGGTGTGGCTACATTTTTACTTCTGCCGCCTGCGGCTACTGAACTCAAGGGTGTAGACGCCGGACTCGAGATGGATCCAGAATCCATACACTGATCCTCACCGCGATTCATCTGTGCCCCGCGAGGAGAGAAAGCAAACAAAAGAAGGAAAAATTGAAATTGTTAGAAAAAAGTGGAGGACTGCTTCGCGTGAAGAAAGTGAAACTTCCGAATGGCTGTAAACTCGCCTGCTCATCTGCATCAATTTCCTTTGCACTGTTCTCAAATTTTGCTAACAGCTTCGCCTCCGTGCCGGTCCCTGGCGTGAAGTAAAGCGTGTCACGTAGCTTCTTTTGCTCATATGATTCATTGACTATCATATGCTTGATCCATCTCTTCGATTGATTGGGCTTGCTCGAACCCTTCCTTTCGGATTCCAAAAGCCCCGAGCTGTTTGAACGCTTGTTGGATTTTGGGCAAATGAAATTTTCGTTTTCCAATCGATGTTTGATTTGGGAAACGGTCGACAAGTCCACCTCTAAATGTTTTGCGAAATATTCAAATCAACTTCAATTCACGCATTAAAAATGATTCACTGAATCACTTACCTAGGCGAAGAGCGAGATCCTTCATGACGGCCGGTAGCCCTTCTTGCTAGATTCGAAAAGGTAACAAACGCGTTAGTTTGATTCAAATTATTCTGACCCATCTCTCTCCTAAATCATCACTTACATAAATGATTTGTAGAGTTCGACGGAAAATGCACAGCCCTCTTAGTCCTTCCAGCGCAATATTAATGTCATCTTCCCTGTTCCATATTTCCTCAAGGCCCATCCCTTTGTGAATGCGACAACGATAACAAGTAAAGAATTCTGGAATCCTCGGATCTTTTTCTGAAGTATAACCATAGCAATTCAAGTGTCTCCATCGTTTACAAATCTCGCAATTAATCATGTCTTGGTCATCATTTGCGTCTCTACATTCGCATATGTCACTCTTGTTAGAGCTAGGGGGCCATTTAGTATGCGATGATTTTATCTTTTTATTTGAATCGGTCTTTCGAATCCCATCATCCGTCTTTCGTTCCAAGTCCTTTTTTTCTTTAGGTCTTGATTTCCCCGCAGCGGAAAGAGGAGGCAAACCTTTAGATTTCAATTGTGTTCCACTGCTTGAAGGAAAGGATTCGATGGGATCGAACGCATCGGGGAGCGATTCGACGTTTTCTTTCAAGTGAGTGGTGTTTACGATTTGGGTTGAAATGCTTGCTTCAAGGATAGGATCATCCGTAGTATCTGCGGAATTATTATTACCTGGTTTCGAGCTCGAAATTGCCTTCTCCTGAAAACTTCAGATTGGTTATCTTCTTCAATCCTGGGACTATCAGGTCGAATTTCATGGGCTTGTGGTAATTTATGATTGGACTCGATCGATCTTAGTGACCAAGCTAGGTTGTCCGTATGCACATCGTGGCTTAGACTGACAGGAGTAGACTGGCTCTGGATTTCGGTTTGAGTAGAATTCAACATCGGATCACTTTCTGGAATCACGTTGGATTCAGGAGTAGCTTTTCTTTTCAAGATCTTAATAGCACCGTTTTCAGTCTCATTCGCGTTGTCATCCTGGCGGGGCAACGGGACGAGACGACCATCGTGATCACGCCTTCCGATCGGCTCGATTATAGATTGTTCGTCTGCTTTATTGAATCCGTTGGGCGTCATAGGAGGGGAAGGAGCTAAAACCTTCTCCGTATCCCAAACAACTTCTCGCTCTTTAGCCTCTTCCCTAATTTTGTTGAGCTCAATTTCACGAAGCTCAAGTGGAGATTTGCCCTTCGGAAGAGCTTTGGAATCGGAGGCATTAGATTCGGGCAAATATCCCGAAATAGTTGCCAATGCTACTCGAACCCTAAAAACCCACATTTTACCTTCGAAATTACTAGACGAATCGAATGCTTTGATTTTAATGACCCTTGACTTACGCGTGAAACCCGGTATCGATCCTTCCCATCTCCGTAGCACTTGGGACTTCCTCTACTCCTGAGGTACCGAAGGTAAATCGATCAAGTTCCACATCGCCCGCGGTAAAATGAGGTGGTTCGTAATCTAATGGTGTTTGACTTCGTCAAAATAACCCAACCGATTAGCTCAGGCTTTTTTGTCTCGAGTACAAACATCAATGGAAAAAAAGAAGAAAAAAGGAAACAAAAGAAGAAAAGGACGAACTCATTGTAATGCAACTTGAAAGTTAGGAAGCGTCGACCATGTATATCTGACAAGCTTTGGGTGGAGCATATCAAGCTTTTTGCAAATTATAATTTCGCAGTTAGCACTTGTATCAATGTGAGACACAGGAATCGAAATAATATGAATCATGGCACTGCGGAAGTATTTACTTCTTGATCAAGGCTTGAACCTGTCTTTTGACCATCCCACAAGTTTTTCGAGATTGTTGGGGATCATTTTCGTTAAGTATTGAGATCTTACCTCCCAAAGATAGCTCTCGGAGTTGATCTCTCACTTCTAGCTCAGGCACCAATTCACCTTCACGATCTTTACTTTTGGAGTAGGTAATATTGAACCTGTGGATCAAGAAGCTCGCAATGGTCTCAACAGACAACGATATTATGGCAGTTCACAAGATAGAAAGAGTCGGTGGACAGACGAACGTGTAGCATTCAATCACGTCTCGAGGCTTATCAGGGTCCAAGTACATGGCAAACAGCAATTGGCGAAGATAACCGCGCTGAATAGCGTCCATCGCTCCCTCATCCTTCAATAACGATTCAAACGCCAAAGGTACGAATCAAATTTCTCAGCTTCGTGAATATCATCAGCAGTCTGATTTTGGACCCACGAGGTAATCCAATACTTTATCGCTCTCTTTTGAAGCACCGCGGTTGATGTGCTTCACTCTAATATAGCCGCGCCCTTCGCGCCCTGGTTTCTTCTGACCTTCAGTAGCCTCATCGTACGTTTCAGAACGATCTGGGCCAATCCTATAGATTCCTTTCTTTAGTTAACGAGCCAATGAAATATAGATAAGCGAGCGTTCAGGCTTACCTATCGTCGGTGAAACATTCCTCCGGAAAGATTCCTCTTTGTGAATGGTTGGAATTTTTGACAAAAATTGAGAGGGAAATTAATCCTCTAACAACGTATGGAAGATGTCGGAGGTTTCTCTCCTATGTAGTTGAAAGTTCGGCGTTACCTGAGATAGGTTATTACACCGATACCTGTTTGAATCAGAGTTTTGACCACATTGAGACTTTGAGAAGAGGTCATCAACTGGGTATCGGTTGAGACCTTTGGATTGATAGCGTTCTTAGACTTCATGGGTTTTACCTTCTATGATTTTTTGGAAGAAGAGAAAGGTGGGACGGTTAGCCACTCCATGAAACAAAAAAACGTCCTGGGCCTATCATTTCGTGAATGATAAGACCTACCATCTGGGTCGGCATCTTGATCAGCTGGTCTACCCAGTTCAATCGAAAGATTCTAGCTCCTGGGTAATAGAGCTTGTTAATAGTATTGTGCCTCAATTTGTGAGGGGGAGATAGAGAAGATTGAAAACTCCCGAAAGTCCAGGAGTTGGTGTGGTAAGGAAGCAAGAGTTCCAACTTTGTCCCGTCTCTTTACTTGTTCGACTTGCAGCCGCATAGATCCACCTTCATGTCCGTCTGTCTTGCCAGGCGCAGTGGCACCAATGAAAACCATTTGATGGTCATGAACAAGAAGGCTGATCAAGCCAACCAGGCTCATTTCACCCCCGATCGATTCTGTCACAAGAACCGGTAAAATAATGACGTCATCATTGCTAATACTCTTCCTTCCATCCACCGAACTCAGTCGCACAGCAGATAATCATCCTCACCAGAACACAAGACCCAGCTCGATGTTCTCTAAGCCAATGTTCATGGAATCGGGCTCGAACACCTGCTCAGCTGTGAGAGCAAATTGGAACCAGATGTGGTTCAGAAGTCTCCCAAGGTTTTCAATGTCATGAATATGGAACCGACCGCGCCGGCGCATGGCCATCATCACAACCCATCAAAAAAAATGCTTCATGACATGCGCAAAATGCCGTCATAAATCCCGTCGTCATGTCTGCTGCTATACGAGAGTTCAAGCCGCAGGCCCATGGATGGGTCTCCCCTGCCGCAAAAACCAATTTGCCTGGAGACGGGGCTAAGAAAAAAAAAACCGTCGTGCGTACTGGTTTAGGGACACCGCAGGCCGAATATAGATCGGAACCCCCCCCCCCCCCCCCCTCAAGAAAAGAAAAAAAGGAAAATAAAAGGAAAACAAACTGTCGCGTATACGTACTGGTTCAAACCGCAGGCAAACCGGACGGACGAAAGCAGCCCAGACTTTTCAGAAATGTCATCCTACTCAACCCATTTGTCTCTACACCAGGGCGGACTGAGAGTTTTCCGACTTATTCCAGCACATTTTTAATCATTGTCCTACAGCTGCAAACACTTGTGTCACCAAATCTGGCCTTTTTACACTGTGTTTTGACCTACGCAAAGGTTTAACTTACAATGATTACTGAAACATGAACCAACATGAAAAAAGTGGGATCTCAAGGTGTTTCTGATGGGCATGCTGACATATAGTTCTTGAGTTTTCCTTGGGTATATTAACCTGCCTTCTGAGAAGTATCACACAACCTTCATTCCACAACCCACCATCCCCCAAGAGGTTTTGGAGCAGATTCAGCTATTCAGTACCTAAATAATTTCTTGCAGAAATGTTCTCAATCTTCATCTTAGTGGCAACTATGGTTAGCTATTTCTACAATTGTTTAGATGATATGCTGCCTGCATGAATACTAATCACTCCTCCTGTGCACTGAAAGCTCCTTAAATCAATAGCTGCAACATCTATTATCCATCCATCTGATCAAATAGGTAAATTCTTATCTAAATTTTCCCACAGAATCATCCAGGACATGACCAAATAAATAAATCTTGTCTGATATGAACTTTCCAGCTTCTGTGGGAGAAAATGCTACTATAAAACCTTACCATCAACACACAAAGCGCATGGAAAATCAAGTGAGAAATTTTCTCCTGTTTTGCTATGGTACAACAAGGTTGAAAATTTGATGTTTCCCTCTAATGATGGTTTATGAATCAATTCAGAATCATGATTCCCTCATGAAATGTCCAGTTTGTGGTTTGAATGGTCTAAAAACAGAAAATGATAAATGTACATTGTGCAAACAATATAAAGTTAGCAAGCTTCTCAAATTATTGACAAAAAAATAAATAGTAAACTTACATATCTTCTATCATCTAGTCAAGTGGGAGCTTACAATTTATGTTTAATTGTGAGAACAAATGGTGCTCTAAGAAAGGAATCCCTTTGAGTTGGACATATGGGACAACAATTTATCATTGTCCAAAATGTTTTCACAGTGTTGATGTGGAAAGTCGGTTAAGACTCAGAGCTGCCAACAGTAACTAGTCAAATAAGCTGGTGTAACTCATCACAAAGATGTTACCGGCATTATTTTAGAGCATATGTTGTGTTGGTTTTTGGTTGAAAATTTCATGTTTTCTTCTTAACTTTGTTAGAAATTCAGATAACTCTCACCCTTGAATTCGAATTTTTGAATCACTGCAAAAATATTGAAAAGATAATTTGTAAGTGTTGTAAAAGTAGAAGTTCCAACTGCATTACTTTTCTTTGCTAATGCCTCCCTTCTACCACCTGCATTTCCTGAATTTTTTATAACAACCTGTCCAATGAGTATGATATATTTTACAATTCACCTCAGTCTAGTGGTATTTGTACCTTGATTAGTAGTCACAAGGTCTGAATCATTCTGGTCTATGAAGATAAGTGTCATTGAAGAATTATTCTTTAGCAATTATTTTTCATTCATCACTCTCAACCAGTCTATTTCAAGCTGGCTTAGTTGAAGTAATCAAACTCCATAATGTGATACCCACATTACTGAGGAATCAAAAAATTCCTGAAGAGGAATTAAAACAGTTTCCAATTTTCCAATACTCTCTTTTTACTTAGATAGAATGAATGCTTGCAGGTAAAAAATAAATAAATATATTGATATTGTAGCAAGCTACAAATTATGGTTGAACTTGAGGGCAGCATTAACTAAGCTTGAACAAGCCTTAATTGACCAATGCATCACTCTCACAATTAATTTAGCTTCCTATTTATCTTATTAACTCAGCATAGCTGATCACTTACCTGTGACATGGTGACAAGTACAAGTCAAGAAAATCCCTTCCTGATTATACACAGAAAAGAGACCAGTGAGTCCATCCATGGCTCTAATTGAATACAACAGGGATTAGTAGTATATATTCAACTCAGTTGAGGATTCTTAAGCCATACCATTTCTATACATATCATAATCCTCACAATCCTCGAAAAAAAGGCCCTCAAACATAACTTCAAGTTCATGATATTTGCCTACAAAATTGGAGAGGGATTCATTCTTCCTCTGTTGGTATAAGCTCAAGGGATTGATTGATTGATCAACACTTCACTCTAGGCAATCCAAGAGGTAGAAACAACTTGGTAGGTGTTGGTTTCCTAAGTGGCTTTCAATTTTGAGGTTTCTCTCAAGTGAAGGAATATGGTAAAAAGTATGATTGAGAAGCCTGTTCCAGCATCAATGAATTCTTGTTTGTATTGTAAAAAATAATTTTAATCCTATCAATTAAGTTTCCTCAAAGCTTCATTCAAATGAGCATGTATTTTTTTGATTTCTTGAAGTGGAGTCGGGGAATTAATTGTAATAGATATGTGCATTGGGTAACTTGGAATACATTTAAAGCAAATTGATTTAAAATATAGAAGAGTAAAATTCCAAAAAAGGAACCTTCATGGGTAACTGTTGCAGAAAAAGGAGCAATTACCAGTACAGGAGAAATCAAACCTGTAATAGAAATAAGGGTCTGCTTCACAAAACCAGGTTGGGGTCAATGAAGCATAACTAGACTCAGACTCATCCAAGGGTTCAGTGTATCTCTCTCAGGGCTGGGTTCAAGGGTCCCTCATTTTATGCTCTGGATGGCAACACCTCAATACAATTCATCTCCATAAAATTTCTTGTCAGTTGGATGACATTATCCAGTCCCTTCATAAATTAGAGATGGCACTTTGGCACCTTTTTTTTGGGGGGGGGGTACCTGCCGCATTTCAAAACATTCCCTACACACCAACAGTCACTATTTTGGCAGGTAGAGGGCAGCAATGACCAAGGTTCAGTACTGGACCCTCCACCTGTATGGCTGGTGGCTGGTGGCTGGTGGTATTGAGAGTTTGTTCTGAAGTGTGGCAGGTAGCCCCGAACAGGTGCCAAAGTGCCATCTCTATTATAAATCAATCCCCATCCTGAATTGCGCCCCGAAAAAAAAGAATTTTGGATAAGCTTGATTTGAGAAATAAGGAGATCACCTGGATTTTGGATAGCTGGCAAGAAAGTATGCAGACCCTTAATATCATTGAACCAACCACAAATCTTGACAGACCGGGCTTATGTCAAATGTTGAAATAGTGCACTGGCCCAAATTTGGGAATCCTGATGATCTGGATTGGCACAGAATGGAAAATGATCCTCCCTGACCAGTAAGTCAAAACGTCTGATGACCCAGCCACAAACCAGGAATTCTTTGATGTCAGCTCTTCAAAATCTCCTCCCCACTAAGAAAGCTCAATTAAGTCCCTGTCTATCCATGGTTCCCATGTTGGCACCAAGCTTTTTGATCTCTGTTTTTTGTATAAAAACAGCAAGAATACCTAGATCTTCTGTAGTGGCTCTGCTGGACCCCAAAAAATCCCACAACTCACCAAACTTGGGTTGCAGGCCCTGGTTCAGCAAGTCCACTAGAGATTCTCTAACACTTCCACCCAAATTTTCTTTGTCACTGGTCCACTCCCATGCCACTCTGCAATCCTGAAAGCATACCTCCTACAACCCAGACTGTGTAGGTATGATCATGTTAAGTAAGATGGTGGTTGGGTTTGAAATCTAATGAATACATACAAGACATTTTTCTTCTCATTTCTGCATGAATAATTTCTGTTGCTGAATTTGGATTGTGTAAGTGTGTATATATACATCAAGCTCAAGCCAAAAAGAGGGGAAAAAAGTGTATGCTGTGTGTATCTATCTAGGTAATTGTCTAAAATAAAACCTTCTTCATCAATATCATCATCATCATACATGAATCAAAAAAAAAAAATAGTTGAATTGAAAAAAAAGGAAAATCATTCAGGAAAAAGGTAAACATTGAAGAGAGGGTTTTTTTTTTGGAAAAAATAATGGTCAAAACAAAGGAAATGAAATTTTCATGATAATTGAACAATTTAAGAAAAGAAAGAGAAATGGTATATTTTTTGGAAAAAGGCAAGTTTCTGTTGAAAAGGAAAGACAGAAAATAAAAGAAGAGATCAAGACATTTCCAATAAAGAGTCGATAGCTTTACTAATAGTACCACGATGAGTGATAAGAACGACTTCAAGTAACTCGGACTCAAGTTGGGGGAAGATAGCAGCGAGGGTATCCAATTTAGCAGCATGTTCGGCGCGTTTGAGGGCCTCGATTCTTCTGAGATCTTGGTCTAATCTTCGATCATCAGTCGAAGAGAGATGTGATTTCTCATGACCAGTCGGCATGAGATCAGAAGAAGAAGACAGTTTTCTAGTGGTATTAGTAGGAGAGGAAGAGGAAGAAGGGTCGAGCGCGCCAAGGTCGGAATGACGAGACCGAGGCGAATCCGCAGACCACGGCCTTCCGCCTCTTCGACTGCCCCTTCGATTCGGATCGACCATCGGCTGCTCGACCGAAGAGCTCGCCCGTCGAAGTCCCTGTCTCTCCGTCGGATGAAGGTCGTCGGATTCGGAGGCCAGATCATCGACGATTCGGGCAATCGCATTCAGCGGCTTGCTGACCGCTTTCTCGGCCAATTGAGGCACCGTCGTGAACAACCATGAGCGCGTTAGATCTGGTAGCGATGTCGATGTGGTGGTTCTGTTGGACGTGGCTGTCGTGGGACTTGGGTCTGCTCTTTCTCCGCCTCCTCCCGTCCCTCCTGCCTCTCCTCCTGCTCCACCCATGTTGCTGTTGCTGCTACTGGCTCCTTGTGTGAATGCTGAAAATCCCCCCGAACTTGCTTTGATGTTTTCGATGACTGGTGATCTTGGTAAGCTGACAATCGCTTGTTCTACATTGTATTCAAATTCTTCTTGAGTGATGTTTGATAAGACCGAGTGTTCAAGTCGCTCTATAAACGAAATCGCCGCATTCTAACATAATAAAAATATCTCAGTTTAGCACTCCTGACTATTTGAATCATATGAAAGGAGACTGACTAGGCTTGACATGTAGTATCCGTTCTCGCCTTGCATCTTATCCGGATTCCGAAACCGTTGTATGTACCTGTTCAATGATTATAATAATAATGAAAGATTGAAGATTGAAGATTAGGAGACATGCTCATGCGAAGAACAAAATAAAGAACAATTTCGAGAAAACAATTTAACTGGAGGTTTGAGATCAATGTTTTGGGTTGAGCGCGTAGGACGACCAAGATCAAGATCGGAATAAACGTATCTGCGCCACCTTCGGATTGGTCGATATGTCTAATCAATCCTGAAGAATCAAAAGAGACCATCAGTTTTTGAGGATGAGGATGAGAGCGTGTGTTGCGGATGGGGGGGATGGAAGATTTTGAGACACACACACACACCAAAGATGACTTTACAGCAATTCAAGATACAGATCATCTTATCACGTGGGGCTTTGTAGGAGTTAATTTTTAGTAATTCGGTCTTGGCAAATTCCATGAATCCGTCGGCTTCATCGGAGGGAAGAGAGAGGTCGAGATGCCGGTCAGTGAGCCAATTGAATAGGTTCATCTTCTGCGATAACACTGTGTCACGCTCTAGGTCATCCGTTTGTGAGGGTTGCGGAGTCGTCAAGGCCGGTGTGAATGTCCTGTTTTATCTCAACTTTAATTTTCTACTTGCTTTTTTCTTCTCTGGTAATTTTTGATACCACTTTTTTCTTAACTCACAAGTGCCATACTCGGTTCATCACTAGCTTTTCCATCGCTTCTACTGCATTGTCAAACTCCGCTTCGTTACACGTTCGTGGGTCCCAAGGGCCATCTGGAATCTCACGCATTTTAATACTAATAAACTAAATATTTGATTTTTGTTTTTGCAGGAGAAAGATCAGATAGTCTGTTATTTGAATGATTGATGATCAGAGGGAACACTGACGTCGAGGAAGTCATTGACGACTTTAACTTGTTCTGCTACGCCAGTTTGTTTAGTTGGATGATGAGCACGTTTGGTAAATTCTTTCAAGAAGGAGCGAAGGTATTTAGCGATAGGTTCAGCCTGAGGCCATCTCATCTGTTCGAGGAAGAGGTTGAAGTCGAATGGGACCGGAGGAGGATCTTCTGAGGGGCTTTCGACTACCAGTCTGGGCGGGACAGAAGGAGTGGGATCTGGGTCAGCATCACGAGAGGATAGTTCGTGGGTAGACCGGGTGGATGATGGAGAATGTTGAGGGGATCCTTGAGGGGGAGAGAGACGAGATGGTGAGGGTGTGCTGTTAAGGTTTAAGGGACGTTTGAGTGCGAAGGCTAGGGAAGATAATGAGAATGAGCCCGAGCCTGTTGAGGAGTGAGTCTGACGTAGGTTGGTCGAGCCGTCGGCAGTAGTAGTAGTGATAGTAGGTCCTGAGAGTGGTGCACTCGGCGGGGGTGAGGGCTGTGATGGAGTGGTTAATCTGGAGAGTAGGTTGGATGGTAGTGAGTCAGGTCGATCGCTTGAGATTGAGTTACGACGGAAGAGTGACCAGGATGAGGCTCGATTCCTGGTGTTAATTTGGAGTGTTTGGCTTTCTGATTGAGAAGGAGTAGTGGGTTGTTGGGTATGACTATGGTCAACTGAGTTTTGCTGTTGTTGCTCTGGTTCTTGTTGTTCTTGTTGTTCCTGTTCTTGTTCTTCTGCTAGTGATGGCGATGCTAGTTCTAGGTCGATGAGTGGTGGTGTTTGATGTTGCTGATGGTCTTCGATGGTGGGTTGGATGGTTGCTGTTGACATTGTTCCTCCTATTAGTGGTTTCTCTTGAGAAGTTTCTCCAGTTGGACTCCACAATCAGCGGAGACCTTATATCTGACTCAAAAAACCACGGGGGAGAGGATCCCGATCAGGGTGAGAAGGGATGACCCTGGAAACCCTTCGATGGGTATCAAAGCTCAACAGTCGACCAACATCATCAGCCTGATGATCATTTAAGAGCAACATAGCCCAGGAAAACCACAGATGGGGACTCATAAGCTGTTGTTACCCTACTGAAAAGTAAGACCATAGTAAATGACTGGAGCAATCTAGAGAACTTAAATTTGACTATCCTGTTATGACATGAATTGTTTGACAATTGGTCAAAGAGGAAAACAACACTGGATCGGATATTATATCCATCACAACTTCCAAGATCTGTGCAGCCTTACTTGAAGGCACAATCACTGTGTTAGGAATTGACTTGTTCATTTGGTATGAGGGATCCATTGAGCAGGAAGAGAAATCTTGAGTTGCACCATTGTGGGAGGTTTTAATTGGACAGCATTGACTGGTATATGCAGGTACAGACTGAGATGGGTTTGTGGTTGGCAGTTGGGGAGGAAACAAAGACAAAAAAATAGAAAAATAAACAAGACACTTCAAAGTTCAAACCACAATGAGCAGGTGGCTCATCCCCCAACTTGGATATATGACTTGATTTGTTCCAATTACCTTCCAGATGGCAGAAAGTAAAGGACCGGTTTCTATCAATCTATGCAAGTTTCAGTGGTTAGTTGTCTCCCCCCTCTGCCCCCCCATCAAACATCCTTAAATTTTTTGTCCCAGTGTTTGTTGCATTTGTCAATCAAGTCGGGATTTGAATAAAGTATCATGTGATTGATAATCTCAACTAATTGATTCTGATTGTTGTCTCCACCTGATTTGAATTCATACCCAGGCTGCCTATTTTCCTCAGCCCAGTATTCAACAATCTTCATAGCAACTGGATACTATTTTTCTGTTCCATGTATCTTGAGTTCTCCTATGTGTGTTTCTTTATCTTCAAGACATACCAAGTGAGAAAGTCGCCCAGTCCCATGAGATTTATTGATCAGCTTTTCATCTTTATCTTCCAGTTTCTCCCAGAATCGTTTGTTAAAATTCACAATCTCCTCCACTAATTTGGTGTTTATTAAACTTTCTGTGTGTTCCATGAATAGTGAAAGGCGTAATACAATCAGGAAAGTTGACATTTTGGTTACATTGCTTACATAATTCAAGATGGATGTAATTCTCTTTTCTGGCACAAATATTTGTCTACTGACTTTCTTTTCCAATTTTCTCAATTCCATTCTTGATTTCAAGTTGCTCATAAGCCCAACAGAGAAGCTGGTATATCCTTCAAGATTGAGTTTCTCATCTGAAAGCTTCAAGACAATTGCACCAAGAATTTTGGGTCTAAGATCAGTTCTGATATTCCTGTCCAAGCAATGCCTCTTTTTTTTGTATTTGTTAATTACATTGGATAGTTTCTTTCGATCAATGAAGTAAAAATTCTGTGTTTTTTGAAAATTCAAAAGTTTGAAAAGTTCTTCAAGCCTTGAATTTTGGCAGACTGTCCAGCGGTTTCCAATTTTGTCATCTGGGTCTTGAGCCCTCAAGAAAGCCCAATCATAAACATTAAACAAAATTAGTTTGTCTTCATTTGTTTCTTCTCCTTGACCATTGGCAGTTTTTGATTGGGATAAGTCATTAAAATCAGTTAATGATTGTCCTTTCCTATTCAGTATTCTTTCATTTTCGGCAGGTTTGTGCTCTTTACAATTGATGAAAGCCTGTGACTCTTTTTTAATATACTTGATTTCAAATTTGTGTGGTATTTTGAAAGGAAGATCATCTGTCTTACGTTTGTGGGATGTAGATGCCTTATGACTACTGACAATGTGTTGAGATATAGGTTTGTTACTAAGGACACTCAGAGGCAATTGAGAGCTTGAGTGCTGAATTGGTGAAAATGAAGTTTCCTTCAAAAAATCAAAATCCAATGGCAAAAGCGCATCCACCACAGGTAAGTTCAAATCAGGAAGTTCTTGATCATGACAACCTTTGATTATTTTATCCCCTGTTGGAAGAGTTGGCAGGGTGAGTAAGGTGGGGTCAATCAACAAAAATACTACATATGACCTGAAAAGAAATTTCCTCATTGTGTAATGATGTTCTTCCAGCTATCTAAGCAAGGTGTAAAAATTTATAACTTGTTCAATTTAATCAAGATAGAAGGATTTTTTTGATATCAAAGAAATGTATAGAAGAAGGTTGTTGATATCAAAGAAATTCATCAAGTGGAATTAAGAGTCCTAAAAACTTCAGTTGTGTTTGATTTCTATTTTTCAGAATCAAAATGAATTTTGAAAGATGGATCAAAAAGTGTTTTAAACAAGTAACAAGTAGTGTTTTGAAGCTAACATTTTTCTGAAATACAGCATCTTAAGCTGTACTGTATACATCCCTAATAAAATGTCTACATACGGCTGAAAATGTGAAATGAAAAGAGTCCCACAAGCTCCCTGAAGTCTTGGGAGAATTCAGGACTTTTGGTTCTGAGTTTCTAGCCACACACTTTCTGAAACATGTTTCACTCATTTTATGAGGATTACCTCCCAAAAATGATTGGATTCAGCAGGAAGGCCTTATTCCAACACAGGATTGAAAGATTTTGGAATATGAAGTTTCAATTCATTTCTTTATAAGTCATTTTATCTGATAATATGAAATATAATAAGCTTAATATGATGAGAATGACTTTTACCTGAAGGCAGAATAATTTCTGAACTAGGTAAACAAAGAAATGATAATACTAATTTGATAATAGCACTCTATGACTTCTGCGAGTAGATATAGGTAAACAATTAAACATGAAGAAAAGATGTTAGTTAGTTGGAATCTTATTCTTCTTCTATAGCAGATAACTATTGATAAAGGAAATAACTGTACTAGTTGATGAGATTGAGTTATTTCTTGATTGTTGTTCATTTATTTTGTTTTGGTTAGCAATACTAATATTGAGATTATAAATAACATACACTTATCAGTAAAAAGTATTTCTCTCTTTCTTCATGAGAAAGGCTGAACACTCACCAAATGATGATGTCCAAAACCGCTTTTGATAGGCTAGAGTTGTGAGTCTGATTTGTTTGCCTAAATATGATGTTTTAA